TGGGGGGTGCGGGGGGGCTCTGCCACCGGTGCGCACCCCGGGGCGTGTGCAGGGGGGCTGGGAGGGGGCAGGAGGGGAGGGTGCGCCTGGGCCAGGGGAGCGGGGAGGTTTGGGGTGCCCCGGTAACGCCTTAGCGTCTCCCCTGGGTGTCGTGCAGGTGCTGGAGCGTGTTTGGGTGGGTGGGCTTGGACGTGTGGGGGTCCGAGGCTGGGTGTCCCGTGGGAACGATCCCAACCCTGCCTGGGGTCTCCAGAGCGGACGCTGGTCTTTGGCACAGAGCAAGTTAAGAATGTTGAAGTTTGCATTTTATAGCAGCCCCAGATAACGAGAGGGAACGAATGCTCTAGGATGGAATAGGAAGAGAAGAAATTTTTCTTTTTTGAGGAAGAAGGAGGCACAGTTTGCCTTTATCACTGATAGGAGCACTGGAAAGCTGATTTCCCTCCTCCCACCCCCAGGAAATTCTAGCTCATTTATCTTGCTCTCTGCCATAAGCCATTCCCTCCGCAATCAAGAACTTCAGAAGGAAATTAAATTAAAGCTGCATGCATTTCTGACAAGGGTAGCAGAGGCGAGAGAGGGCCTGGCAGCCACGGGGACACAAAGGCTTTGGGGACCTGCTCTAGTGGAAGGTGGCCCTGCCCGTGGCAAGGGGGTTGCAACTGGATGATCTTTAAGGTCCCTTCCAACCCAAACCAGCCTGTGATCACAGGAAAAGCTGTGGAAGGCTCCAGTATCTAGACTTTATTGGCTTTCATCTTGGTGTGGGGGCAGGCAGAGGGCTGCAGTATTAGTTCTGTAGCTTGCACGTGTATGTGTTGAGCTCAAAGTCATTCCCCCCCCCATTCACAGCCTTGGAGCTCCCGTCTGTTTTTCCTTCTTTCTAACCGATGGGTTTGCAATGTGTAGGGGCCGGGCCAACCTGGTAAACCTTTCTCCTGCAGGGTGTACTTTGGCTAACCCACCTAATAAAATCCAACCCAGTCCGTGTGGATTGTAGGCAGACCTGTGAGGAATGCGGAGATAGACGAGTTTCAGTGCAGCCAGTCATCGGGAAAATTTCTCCAGCTATGTGTGGCCTGGAGAAGTGCCAGGCCAGCCGGAGGCCTGGCTGAAAAGGCACGTACGGAAGGGTGGAGGTTGCTCACGGGGAGGTGCTGCGCATAGGAGGGGCAAACTGAAAATGAATTAGATATGTATCGGATCCAGAGGTGCTTGCCGGTGCCAGGCAGGTGTTGTAGCTAATGGAGCTGGGCTAGGCCAGGAAGCGTTAAGTCTGGGAGGAGGGTGTTACCTGGCAGTTTGGGGACTGCAGTGAGGCCCAGTGTTCCTCACCAGTTATGGGAGGAAGAGAGAAGTTGCTCGTTAGGTCGTGGGACAGAGGCTGAAGGCCAGAAGTTAACGGTTGGGAAGATCGCTACTTTCCACCTTGATTCAGTTCTCCAAGTAGCTTTACAAATAGTTGCATAAGTGAGAGGGAAATCCTGGTGAGGCGAGGGAAAGGAACACGTAGGGGCACAACCTGCCCTTGATGTTGAGAGAAATATCTGTGGGACCTTGGGTTAAGTTTGCAAGAGTCCTTCTGTGCCTCCGTTTCTCTTGCTGCACGGTGACAGCGGTTCTCCGTTTGAAAGCAGGTTGTATTTAACGTTTGGGAAGGTCTTTGAGCACCTCATTTCCAAGGGCAGTATCATGTGGCACGTTGTGTGGAGCAAGGACATTTGCACCCACTTGTAAAGGCCTAGTTATTTGCCTATAAGCAAGACCAGCCTGTGGCTCTGTTGGTGGGAACGAAACGAAGCAGCTGTCTTTTTCTCTGTTCTGTGTACTTTGTAGTCTCGTCAAGAGTCTGCAGACTGAAACAAAGCTCATAGCATGTTGTCAGCCCTGGTTTTGTTTTCCCACACTGCTCCTGCCTCAGACCCTACGTACTGCTCTAAATGCAGAGTAGTTCTCCAAGGAACTTTGAAACAAGCCACGTGAAACATCACCATGGTGGGGCTGGCCTGGCACATCCCATGCTTCCTCCTTCTCCCATGCCAAGGCACGGCAGACCAAACTGCCTGTTTTTTCTG